GGTTGTGGTGGTGGTGGTGGTGATAAGTTAACACGTTTACTCTCACTTTTTTTTTTTTTTTTTACATGGAAAAACTGTACTGATGACGTCCCTGTTGAGGTATGCTTAAGAAAAAAAAAAAAGAAATCTCGACTTAAACACAAACAGCTGCAAGTATCATTGTTTTTTTTTTTTTTAAAAAACTTCAATTTTCCCTTCTTTTTTTTTTTAATTAATATTGAAATTTTTTAAAAAAAAAAAAAAAAAAAAACAAACAAATAAAGTGAGAAATGAAAAAAATTACATGTCTTCATCTTCTTCATCATCTTCCTCCAATTCCTCTTCATCATCATCATCTGCAAAGGATTTTGGTTTTTTCTTATAGGCTGTCATTTCCTTAAAAATAAATTTTAATTTTAATTTTTCCAAAAACTTTATTTTAAAAATTATCGAAAAAAAAAATATATGTCTTACTCTGTCATATCTGGCTTTATCTTTTTCAGCCATGGCTTCATATTTTGATTTTGTGTCTGGATCAGCTTCAGCCCAACGTCGGCCCAATTCTTTAGCAACATCTCCTACACCATATTCTGGATTAATAGCTTTTACTTTTGGCCTTTCATCATTGCAAAACCAAAAAAATGCAGACCTGAACACATATTATTCGATTAATACAAAGCAAACAAATGACAAATATGACTAATCTCTTGTCGAAGGTAATATTCCATAGAGTAAACAACTTACAATGATCTTTTAGGAGCATTCGGATCCTTGATGTGTTTCCTTTTTTTCCCTCTTTTCTCTGCTTTTGATGGGACATAATTTTGCATTTCTGAATCATATCTTAATTTATCCTTTTCTGCCATTTCGTGAAATCTACGCTTTTCTTTGTCCAACATCGTCTAACAACAACAAATAATAATAATAATAAGGATTTTAATTAATTGGCAATCGAAAAAAAAAAATTATTCAACTTATGTAACTATTTTAACAATCGAACAATAAAATTTTAAATATAATTAACTAATTATGAAAACATAACAATTTAAAAAAAAATTAATTAATGAATTATATATTGTTTACCTTCCACCTTTCGGCACACTTTTTTGAAAATTCAGCAAAAACAACATTTTCATCGGGATGTTTTTTCTTATGTTCTTCTCTACAAGTCTGAACAAAAAATGCGTAGGCAGTCATACGACCACGAGGTTTGTTATCGTTCTTGCCGCGGGGCATTTTGAAGATTAAAGCTAAAAAAAAAAAAAGAAAAAAAAAGAAAAAAAAAATAATTTTTTTTCCTCATTTAATAATTTCAAACACTGTGTGCATCCTTAAATCATTAGGGGAGATTTCATTTTCAAACAAGTAAAATGTACAAAAAAAACTATTTCTTTGTACATTTATTTAAACTATTATGCACATTTATACCGAATAAAATAATACTGGAGAGTGTAAACAATTATTATTTTGCTAAAAAAAAAAGAAAGAAAAACTAATTTAATTTGATTGACATGAAAGATTCAAACAATTTTTTGGTTCAGAACATTAGCGCAATCTGACGTCGAAAATTGAAAAAAATATTTTTTTAACCGTTTTTGCAAAAATGGTTTCCAAAAAATGAAGAAAAAAAAAAAAAAAACAAACCCAAACTCAGGTAATATTCTTGAAAGAAACGCTATTGAAACAAAAAAAAAAAAATATTAAATTTTTCATTTTTTTACTCCCCTCCCCATCCCCCCAAAAAAATGTACACTTTTCATTTTCCCAATTCGTACCAATTAAATAAATAAATAAATATTCGGGGAAAAAAAATTAATTTAATTCGGAACTAAATAAAATTATTATTATTATTATTACATTGTTTGGACAAAGTTTTTTTTTTTTAAATGAATCCAACTCATCAGGAGAAACCGGCTTCTACGAACAATTTAATTTTTTTTTTAAAAATAAAAGCCTAGTAAAACTAAAAACATTATTTCACATCGAAAGGTAAATACAAGGCAGAGTCACGATTTACGTTAATTGCGTTGATGGAACAAAATACTCACTCACTCACTCACTCACTCAGCCTACCCTCTTCTTCTAACTTGTAATTGTCGTTAGTTTTTTTTTTTTTTCTCTTCTTTTTTGTATTATTTAATGTTTCTTAAGCGTAACATGAAAAACACATTTTAAACGAGAAAAAATTCCTTTTTTTTTTTAAATGGTTGTTGTTATTAATAATAAGGTAGTCGTAGATTTCTTTAAAATTTATTTACGAACGTAAAAAAAAATAATAATAATATTATATATTATAAAATTTCGTATTAAAAAAAAAAAAAAAAAAATTAAAGGATCTGTATATGTATATATACTTATTATTTTTTGTTTGTTAATTATACGCCGATTTTCATTATTTATTAAAATAAAAATAATATTATACGCGACCTTCAAAAAAAATTTTTTAAATTACTAAAATTAAAAAAAAAATAAAAATAAAAATAAATCTGCCAAAATTAAAAATTAATAAAAAAAAAAAAATTAAATAAGAAATGTTAGAAAATATTACTATCAGTGCTATGTATATATATATATATATTACAATGGACACAATACTCCATAAGAAAAACACGTCAAAAATGAGCCGCCATTTCGTAAAAAAAAAAAATTCTTTAAAATACAGACAAAGGAGACTAAATTTTGTGACGTCATGACAGAAAGTAATGTTTATTTTTGACCCCCCAGAAATATTAGAAATATTAATTTCCCAATGCAAAATATCTATTCAAATTAATAAAAAAGCCCATTCTGCCGCATTGCATTAAAGGGTACCGTGGTTAAGTCCCATAAGAACGTATGGTAATATCCCAATCCAATGCTATTTCAATGGAAGCCATATACGACTCCTTACACACACCATTATAACACAGGAATTTTATTTATTAGTCGAAAAAAGTGACAGTTGCCTCGATTTAATTAATATAACTTACAAAATAATTATAAAAAAAAATTAGGTATTCATTTGACACATTAAAAAATTTCATTAATGCGTATTAAGTTAAAAAAAAAAAAGCTTTTTAATAAAATTATAAACCCAATGCTGATCTTATGGCGGCCATTTCGTGACGG